TGCTTTTTAACTCCCTATTAAGACATTTTCTCCAACTATCCAAGATAAAGTTTTTGACTATGGCAATTTTTAGGATTTTCTTTCCCCCCCCCCCCCTTTGCTTTGGGTTTCCTGCAGACAAATTGGAGCCATCTCTAACTGGACTAATTATAACAACATCTAAGTACATTTTAATGCCTCTGCAAATTTATCAGAGGAGCAATGATTTGAATGAATACAATGATAGTTGGACCAGGTGCTTTTTTTCAACATTTGGGAGGGAATAAATCTACATCCCATCTGTGTCAATCTAAAAATAACATCCAAACAAAACTCTTGGGAAATCTTCAGCTTTGCTGTATATCTGAATCTAACATTTTGCAGAAAATAAATGATTTGATAAATGTATCTAGATGATTGGTATTTTAAAGAAAAAAGTAGTGTTAAGTGCTTCAGCCAAATTTTGGTGGTGTAAAATTTTAAGTATTTTCAGTGTAAGAATATTGAAAAGGTGAATATACTTTTGCATTTCATTCTCCTTGCATTATATTTTTCACCTAAAAATCTACTTAATTATCTCTAAAAAAAAATCTACCCAATTGTTCTCTTACGTTCTCCACAGTTAGAAATATGTAGTTATTTAAAAGATCTGTGCATTGAAGTGACTCTGGTCATAATTACAGAGAGCACTGAAAAATCAAAAAGGCTTCAGATAATAAATATTCTGTTTTGTAATGATTAGAAAAATACATATGGGTAGTTCACCAATATACCATAAAAATAAGAGGTCTCCCCCAAACCCAGGATCTTTTCCCAAACAGTGGCACAGTGTTCAGTGGCAACTTACATTATAAATCTGTAGAGGCTAGTATCATCTGTGATAGTCAAATTATCTCCATTGCCTTGTAAACCAATGGCCACTATTGTATTTTGTAGTAACTGAGCCCATTAATTAATACATTCTTTAAAGATACATTTTAAATCCACTGCCAATCTAATGTTATTGGACGGAGGAAAAGTCTCCTTTTAGTTTCATCTCTATCATTGTAAGTGTTGAAATCTTTTCTAATGCCATGGAAAATCATTTTGTAAGCAAGAAATATGGTAGAAACATTCAAATCTGGTAAATTAGCAAGCGCATGTGACTTGACTCAAAAAGGCTGAAGAAGAGGCCCAGAATTTAAACTTGGGAACTAACATATACAGAAGGCAGGATTCTGAATTGGTATTACAGTAGTTACATTTATTCATAGGTGTGGCTTCTTTCTCAGCGGCAATAAATATTCATGGTTCACTGTAGAATAGGAGCTTCAAGTTATTTATCAGAATTCGCTTTCTTGCTGCCAAACAGTATATTGTAAAACTTATAAATGTAACATAGGACAAGATTTTCTGGACAAGAATCACAAGCATATAAGCATCACAAAGTGTTGTTTTATCTGCTCGTTAGAATTCTCATTTTTTTTGGTTATTTCTATCTTTGTAGAAAGAAAACAGAAGCTATGCCAATTTTATGTGGGCTTTTTTGTTCTTTTCCCCTCTTCAGGATGGCTTTTATGCAATGCTGCACATTAGCATAATGTTATTAGCAATGCTGCACATAATAATAGGTGAATTAAAAACAACATGCTGAAGAAACAGACAACTTGACAGGGTTGAATTAAAGAAATGGTGTGTGGGCAGGTAAATAGCAAGTGAACTACAGAAAGTCATATGTTGATGATGTTGCGCCGGTGTCTCCAGCTGCTTCCTGTTTTCTTTCCATAGGAAAGGATGCCTGGAGAGTAGCCCCGCAGATACCAAATGAGATATGAGACCGTTGGCTGCAGAGCTCCCCTGACTTCCCTTTCTGTGTGGGAGGTGATTTTATAGCAGACATCCCTTACAGGGATACTGGCAGCAGTGGTGTTTCAAACTGTGTTCTTCTATGGTACAGCTGCCCATTTCACTTCCACGGCGTAGGTGCTGCAATACTGAAAGTGTGTCCGTGAGATTTTCATGTGTATTCTGGACTTCAGAAAATCCAGAACAGGTGACTAGAATATCTCCTGTGGTTTTGGTATTTTGGCAGCAAAGCCATGGGTTGTGGAAGATGAGGAATGTTGTTCTCTCCTGTGATATCAATACCCTTTCAACCTGGACATGCCCAAAAGTGACATGTATCCAGTAGCAGACTCAGAGGTGGGTTGGCAACACGGTGAAAGCTCTGTCATGAGGAAATGACCTTTTATAGTTAGTGGGGCAAGTTATGCCACAGCATGCAGAGCATGTGGATCTACCTTTATTTTTTTGTTGATCTTCCCCTTTCAGTGGAGTTTTTTGTATCCCTGAAAATCTGTTCTATGAGTTTGGAAACAGTAAGTCTGGAACTGTAAAGGAGGGGGAAATCCAGAAGAAATTACATTTTGGCAAGAGGATTTTGAGCAAAACTCTATTTGGAGTTGTTCTAATTAGTGGAAACACATAGGATAATATGCAAACAGAAACAGACAGTGCAAAAGCAGAAGTGTTCTCAAGTTTATTCTTTTTAGGGACTTTATTTTTTCAGTGGTACAGTGCAGCAATTACACAGGAATTTCTGGGTGGCTGTAGTTGAAATAAAACAGTTTTATAGACTGAACTCAAACATATAAACATGCAGCTACTTGTGAAAGGAGGAAAAAGGAAAAATACTGAAGGCAGGAACCGAGGCTGGCAGGTGACTGAGAAGGCCTTACCTTGTGGAGGTCAACTCTATAGTATAGACTGTTCAATAAAACCAAACTCCCTTTTGTGTGCCTTGTGTGGAATGAGGGTACATCTACGTCATATATTGGATGCCACTTGTTTTCCTGAGACAGGAAAACTTTTTAATAGATCTGCAATAAGCAAACTTTATAGAAACAGCTTCCATTACCTTTCAGATGAAAGGTAAGCTTACAACTTCATTGTAAGGTAAGCTCACAACTTAAACATAGATTTATATTAAGAAATGATAGCTGGACTCACACTTATCTTTGCATATAGTTAGTGAGCCTCCCAGCAATTGACTAATGCTAAGCAGTGATTGTGTACCGAGCAAGTTCTAATCCCATCTTGGGCACAAAGCTATCTGGATGACCTTGGGCCAGTCCCTGTCTCAGAAGAATGCAGTGGGTAAATTCCTTCACAAAAAAGGTTGCCAAGAAAACACTAGAGGGCAGCCATCAGAAATCAAAGTTGACTTGAAGAAACATTTTTTCCCCTCCCTTGTTGCTATGCCATCATTGATCACAAAGAACTGATCATGTGTGGGCAGTAGTGGCCCAATCCCATACTCACTGCTAACCTTGTGTCTTCAATAGCACTCCCTTATTATCTGCAATCGGGCTTGGTACACCACTGCTAAGCAATATATAAAGGATGTAGAACTTAGAGAATTGGTACCATAGTTACCCATACTTCTGAAAGTATTATGCCACAAGCTTATATTTCTTGTTTTGAAATGATCCCACAGTATTCATATATTCCTGAATTGCCCAGGCCCTAATCTAAACTACTAAACAGCTTAATGCTAAAGTCAGCCGAGTGTAACATAATAATTCCCATTTAAAATAAAATAAAATCCAATCCAATCCAATCTAATATCTCATTAATTAACAGATAAGTCCATGAGCTGCTATTCAAAAGAAAGCTCAATTAAATATTTCTAAGTGGAGATAATAGAACTAAAAATCCTTTACAGTCTTCCCTGAAATTAATGAGAATTATTGATCAATCAGTTTGAAATATCTAAATGAGGACTGGGTATATATGAATTTCTGTATGTACAGCAAACTAGATATTGCTCAATCTATACTCTAATTTACAGCAATCTTTTTATACTATAATGCATTTTTAAAATAATGAATAGAAAGCAGGTTTATACTTTTCTAAATAAAGATAAATATTTACTCAATACAAAATTATATATATATAAAAACCACTCAAGATATGGGAAACAAGCTGTGTGAAAAAACAGTGACACTGCTTTAGCCTTGAATAAGGATTTTATATTCAGTAGCTGAAGTACATTTCTGAGTACTCTATACCATTTTCATTTTCAAAATGGTCACACACTGGACAAATTATGACCATGTTTACCGTTGTCAATATTGGCAGTAGTTAGGGGTCAATATTGAGACTCATCATAAGTTAAACACCTCTGTTTCACATTCAAAGGTAGAACTAGTGTACAATAGAATGCAACAACAGCTCTAAGAATCTGTCTTACATCTAACAAGTCTTACAACAAACAATGAAGACCATAACCTGTTTTTTCCTTAGATATTTTTCTAAGAGGTGATAACAACATAGTATAACAACATAGTTGTAAGGCTGTCTTTTAATGCTGCATCTGTAATATACACACACACACACACAGAGAGAGAGAGAGAGAGAGAGAGAGAGAGAGAGAGAGAGAGAGAGAGAGAATGGGAGAAATGGATATGTATACCGAAAAAATTAAGATATAGACCTATGACAAATCATAAGGCTCTGTGTATTNTGTAGATAGATTGGGCCGGTCCTGTTGGGACTATTAACAAAGGTGGGGACTGCTTTTCAAGAGCATGTTTCTCCTTTAGGGAAATATAATATTCTACCTTTTAAATATTTCTCAAAATATTTCATTCTTCTAGGAGAGGGATGGGTGCTAACTTTCTACACTGTCTAACAAGAAATCTCATGATTGCTAACATTGAATTAAAATATTAACATTCATATGTAAAATTGTAATGAAGAGAATTCAAAGGTGAAACATATTATTTAATACTTAAAGGAAGATGAATTTGAAACTTTTAGAAGAATTCATCCTAATTAGGAAACCTCAAACAGCTTTTGAAAGAGGGCACACTTTTAACAAGTCCTCTTCTTCAGATCTTAATGTGTAGGTCATCCTCTCTGATATTCAGATATATTTTTTATGTCTTTCCCAGACAAAGAACTGGCAAGTTGTACCACTAAATACTTTGTAAATTTAAAAACAAAATATTTTTTCTACTAGCAAACATTGTAAGACCTACCTGGATTCTGCACTGTGGACAGGTTCGACTTGGTGCAGTATCAAACCACTGGATGAGACTAGGGTAAATGACAGAGGGAATGGTTAACAAAGATACAGGATTTTGTTAAAAATATTAAATAGGAAAAACAATCAAAGCCAAACAAATAGTACCATAGTTGTGTTTGCATAGTACAATATAGCACAAGCTAGCCAACCAAATTTTAGTTTAGGGTATTGGTATACTCAATAAAGGAGAATATTTTTGGCTCAGGGTTGAAATGAGGGATCCTTGGTGCTCTCTGAACTTGGTAGACTTGCTACACTTGTGATGTTACCTAGTTTGAGTAATGAACCATCTGCAAGAAAATAATCAAGCTCAGTGTACTTTAGCCTATGAGGTTATTTTATGTTTGGAGCATTGTGCAAACTGAAAAAAAAAGTATATACTGTACGTATGGAGACACTGTGAAAATTGTTTCCAGAGGCAGCCATACATTTTAAAATTAACTAGATTGCAGGATATCAATCCTTGAACAATCCAGTGTGGCAAATAGAACACATATTTATTGTTATGACTGCTAATGAGTTCAAAGTTAAACCACAAGTGTTTCCGCATAGTTAAAGTACAGCACCATTATATACACTATAGCTTTCGAGGCTGTTCAAGTTTCACTTAAAATATCACAGCTTAAAATATCACAGCTGTGGACAGTTTGCCAGTAACAGTAACATGGCATGCTAGATTTTGGGGATGCAAATGTAAACTTCTGAAATTGTTTAAAAATGTGTATTATTTTAAGATAGATACAAATATGTCTTCAGAATATATAAGTTGCACGGAAGTGTTATTTTTGACAGATCTTTAGAAAATATGCATAAATTGTACATACAAAAATATGTAATGTCACTATAAAAATTAGCTTTGAAATGACTCAGTAATGAGCCCATGCTAATATCAGCTCTTACATAATTTAAAATCTTGAACAGGACTTAATATTTTTGACACAAGAGAATAAAAGTCACAAATTACCAAAACAGAACAATTACAGATTTGCATTAATAACTCCCAAAATGTGAATAGTTTTTATCCACAATTTTTATAACCCCCAGAAGCACATTTTTGATATTAAGACGAAAACTTAGCAATCAATTTATTTTTCCTAAACAAAACTATTCCATATGCCTCAATGTCATTGATCAATCCTAATAAAAAACTGTATTACATACGCAGAAATAAGGTGAAAACAATGTAGTAAAACGTAAGACTCAAGAAAGGTGTTTATGTTCTTTAATAACATCTGACACCATTTTTATTCATATACTCACCACAAATGATGGAAAGTATGTCCACAGTGAATAGCTGCAACATCAGTCTTATTGTCAAAGAAATCAGAACAGATGGTACAATGGGCACGGATAGGCATGATCTATAATTTCAAAAGAACAATGTAAGGATCAAGCATGGAAGACCCTCTTCTACAAAGGAAAATACTTAAGGATTTTAAATAAATGGTCCCATGGGAAAATTTATCCAGAACTTGTCCCAAAGGTGCTTTTTCAAAAGGTAGCTGGATTTTGTTTTTCCTTGAAAACATTTCACTTCTCATCCAAGAAACTTTTTCAGTTCTTCAGTTCACAACCATGATCTGGATGACTGAGAATCTCCATAGATATCTAGAACTTCTATCACATGTATATATGTTGAATATCCAAAATAGAACAGCCAATATCAGTGACTCAGAACATTAAGTTGTGTTTGATGACTGGAGAACAAATATCGTTTGCGATATTTGCGACCCTACCTGAATCGGGAGGCTCTCACAACAGTCACTCGGGCCCTTGGGACCTCTAGGCTGGAATACTGCAATGTGCTCTACATGGGGCTGCCCTTGAAGAGCATCCGGCGACTTCANTTTCCTTAGATATTTTTCTAAGAGGTGATAACAACATAGTATAACAACATAGTTGTAAGGCTGTCTTTTAATGCTGCATCTGTAATATACACACACACACACAGAGAGAGAGAGAGAGAGAGAGAGAGAGAGAGAGAGAGAGAGAGAGAGAGAATGGGAGAAATGGATATGTATACCGAAAAAATTAAGATATAGACCTATGACAAATCATAAGGCTCTGTGTATTTATCAAGTGCATGTAATGTGAAGCCATAATAGATATATCTATACACAAATCATACATGAGTGAAATGATCAATTTGTAGGCATTTCTTTTTCCAAAGCTATTATTTTAGTCAGAAAAACCATTTTGGCTGCTCACTTCAGCAGTCATATGGCACTCACAGTTTCTTTCAGAGAAAAGAAACACCTACAGGGGCTCAGGAACTAACTTGAAGCAGGAACGAATGTTTATAGTGCTTGACTATTGGTGGGTTATGCCATTATGAAAGCTTAGAAGACAGACTGATGAGACTTCTTTGGACTGTTCCTTCCACTATATATCAGCCCATGTGACTTCCAGCAGGTTCTTAGTTGTTACAAACTATTTCTGCCATTGGATGCATCATTACAAAAAATATTATTCTGGGGTTTTCAGATACAATAGGTGCTTACATTTCTGGGAAATGGCATTACAAGCTCCCCAAAGCTTGTATCTGTATGCCCCAAATTATTGTTACCAGAGGTATTGTCTCAGTTGGAAATCAAGATAGTTCTAAATCGAGATACGATGTTAGGAACCAGTTTTCGTTCGCAAATGAACATATCAAATTCCAAGTAGTCACTGCTAATGTTTAATATGGCTTCAGGATTTGGGTGCTATGAAAACCTAACAACTTTGAGATTGCTGATGTCATAGAATTGCATTTTTTAAACATAAGGATTGGGTTTGCACATGGCACTAAGTTGTGTTTTTGTGAATAAATCCAGTTGGCTAATTCTGATATACCAAGCCTTGAATCATATTTTAAAAAGCACAGTAATGGGGTTCATACAACATGCTAACCTAAAAAACTATATGTTGGTATAACTTGATGCTTGATGCTTAAACTCAATAAATAATTACTATGCAAGTGAATCTGATTTTGTCAGATTTTGTAGGAGAAAACTTGAGACTTCACTGAATTCTGCAACAGGAACTATAGCCTAGTCTCCTCATGGGATCTATGACAACTCGCCACAGTCAACTCACCATGTCCAACTTGCCACAGCCAACTCGCTGTGGGACAATTTGACATGGCCAACTCATCATGGAACAGCACACCATGGCACAAGAGTTACACTAATATCAAAGAAATAGTAGAATAGAATCATTTAAAAAAAGATGCCAAAGGAGAGACAGAATGAAATGTGAATGACAAAAATTAAAATAATTTTTAAACTATTTTAAATAATTATATTGAATTGTTGAATTGTCCCATAGTGACTTGTCCTGTGGCAAATTGTCCTATGGTAAGTTGGCCATGGCGAATAGGCTGCAGTGAGTTGGCGAGCTGTAGATGGAGAACACTGACCTTCCTCAAAAGGGTCAAAACTTGGCTGTGTAGCCTTGTGAGGGGGATATAGAGGCCCAAACAATAATGGGACTGGCTGGTCCCATTAGAAACACCACCACCCTGGCTGTATGAACAGCTGCTAATCACTATCTTGGAATTCTTCAACTTCTGAAAATTGTCTGTTTTATCATTTTAAAACTTTTAATCCTAACTTATTCTGATTGTAATGTTTTATTGATTACATTGTACATCACCCAGAACCCCTCTCCTGAAAAACAAACACACAAACAAATAAATCTTGATATCAAAACAATCCATGTGGGGCCCATCTCCAGAGGTAAATGTGCATAAAAACCTTGAGGCAGTTTTCTGTGACTGACCTCAACAAACATCTGGAATTAGCAGAAGCAATGATGGTACAGGATGCTGGTTCTATGCTCAGGGCTGAATCAGGCGTTCCATGTATTGCCAAACAGGCCTGCAAGCTACCCATGTATCAAAAATTAGGAGAAGACTTTTAAGGGGGAAATCATATCATACACTTGCAATTTCTTATAACGTTAAAAGTTATCTTACAAATGTTAGATCCTTCTGCCAGGGAGGAACAAATCCATGACATGGGATTCTATAATACAGGGATGCCAAATGTTTGACATGCTAAATATAATAAAAAACTCTAGTTTCTTCTTTGTCTATGAATTGGGTGAAGGATAAACTGAAAAATGTCATGTTTTGAAGAGGGCAGTTTTGCTTGCAAGAATATCAGAGTATCCCTGTTGAGAAAAACAGCATGCTTTTCCCATTAAAACCACAAAATGTATTAGACTTTTCAAATGGATACATTTTGTATACTTATTTCTGTGTTTGTCAATATGACTTAATGATACACATAGGGCGAAGCTGTCAGACTCCTGGACAGATGCTATGTCCATACCATACTCATTTGTTTACAGCTGAAAAAAATATTAGTTTATGGACAGGAATTCTGTGTAAAATTAGTAATATTTTATAGAAATTCACAATATTTTTGAATATTGTGGTAAATGGGAAATAATAGTAATTACACAAATGCAATTGCAATATTTGTTTTGTCTCGGGAATATTAATTTTTGGAATATAGTGTTTTTGTTTCAGGATGAAGAAAAAAAAGGAAAAGGAGCATATTAATCACTATTACCTATTAGCAAATTAGTTGTTTATCTGGTGCACTTTAGGAGTTTTCTCTGTGATTAGCACGTATGAGTGTAATCTTTTGTACCAACATTACATGTACTTCCTGATCCCTTTTTTTCTTTTTATATGTTCTGCCCTACAAACTATCATCCATTTGTTTTTGAAATTCAGTTCCACAGAAAGCTGTTATTTCCACCAAATAAAATATTTAAGTTGTGTCACTGAACGTATTCATGTCCATCTAGTTGCCCTTACTCTACTCCGAATTAAGGGGTTACAATGTCATAAAAAGGGAGTTTTCTGAAGGAATTTAGGTAGGTGCAAAAAAAATTGTGATTACAGAAATTATTCATTCATACAATAAATGTAGAGAGCAATATTAGCAATGCATTCTCACTTGCATTTGGTCTCTCTACCTAACATTGACCAGCCTGTTTCCAAGTCATTATGATTCTTTCATAGTATAAAAAAAGCTTACATAAATGTTCATTCAGATGGACCCCTATGGAATTTATTAGTAAAATTTGGTCAAATTGTGACCCATCTGTCTTTGCTGCAATGCTAATTGGCGTTAATACATGTTACAGGTATGCTAAAGTTGCTCTTGTTCATACAACTATTGCTGATAATCTGGACTTCTGTATTCCAGGTTTACATAATCTATATCATGCAACATAATTGTTTATCCTGACTCCTTAGGTAGTAAATCTGAAGTAATAATCATAGCTGTCTTTCATCTTCATTACCGCGGTCTATTCATAAGTGATATTTAAAACTTTCATCTGTCCAGAGGAAAGACTCAAATAATCAATCTATAAAAATCTCTCTCTCTCTCTCTGAGAGATTTCTGAGAGAGAGAAAGAGAGAGAGAGAGAGAGAGAGAGAGGGGGGGAGAGAGAGAGAAGGAGAGAGAGAGAGAGAGAGAGAATGAATTTTTCTACTGAATAACTATGGTAGTATGAACTTACATAATACCTAATTAAAGTTAGGAGTTTTGTAAGGACTGTTGATTTATTATGTCCCTATGGTACAACAGATGGGTCAGCTGAAGAATGTGATTTCTGTGTTTCATCTGCTTGCCTCAGCCTCTTCTAGTGATGCCCCAAGAGCCGAGAAATTGGATAGTGAGTGAGTGACTGACTGACTGAATGTCTGGGAAGATGGCAGTCTTGAAAGTGGTCTCAGGAATGCATAAAATAACTAAAAGTACCTTTAGGATAGTTGTACTTACAAAACAAATAAAATCCACAAAGAAAAAGAAAGCAAGAGAAGAAAAGGACAAAAGGGGGGGGGGGAGAAACGAGAGAATTTCATGCAATGGTTTGGGCCTCCACAGCATTTGTTTATTGGAGCCCATCAGGGTCACTCTGGATTGTGTCACATAAAAAATAGAAACTCTGTTGGAGAAACACAAAGTGAGACAAACTGACAGCCACACACAGAGGGGATGATTGGGAAGCCAGGACATTGGAGGGACCATGCCGGTGATTATTTACAAGAGAGATACAACACCGAGAGGTACAATCCTGCCCCTGCTTGGCTCCTCTCTGACTCAGCCAGTCTCCTCATTCCAGGACTCAGGGGTGGCACTGGGGGCTGTGGTTCCTTCCCCGTTGCATGTCGCTGGACCTGCTGATGTCATTGTTGATGTTTCTGCTTTAGTTGCTGGAGCTGTGGATGTTTTTCCCTCTGGGTTTTCTTCTGCAGGGGCTGATACCATTGTGGCCACCCGGGCAGCTTCACTTGTTGGAGCTGTGTTATCTGCTTCAGGTTTAGCCTGCAGGGTGTTGTTGGGCTGTGTTGTAGCAGCACCATCTGTTGTGGCAGCAGTGGGAGGGGTTGGCTTGGCTGCATCTGTGTGTTCTGGCGCTCGGAGTCTCTTCATCATTGTGGTTACTCGGACAGCTTTCTGTGGGTTGCCAGGAAAAACATGGTTTTGAGATCTTAATGTCTCCTTAATGTTGCATAACCCCAGTTCAGAATACACAACCCCACAGACCTCTTGGCTTAAAAAAAAAAGTAACCTTGATATATTCACATTGGAAGTTCCACATTTTATTTTTAAATGTGCTGTCAGCGTCCGTAACAGCAGATAAACACTTGAGAAAAGAATGGATTTATAATAGATCCTCAAGGGTAAAAGCATCAGAAAGCAAATAACAAGCAGATAATACGACTAATGTATCATGATTTGTACTTTATCTGATGATGATTAATCCAAGTAGCGGTCTTTAGAAATGGCAATTTATGGCTGTCATTCAATTTAAGTTTTTTAGATACTGTTTTTTAATTGTGCCATTTTTAAACCGATAAAGAGACAGGAAAATTAATATTAATAGAGGGATTAAATACATTGATTTATTGAGGTTAATAAAAATCAGACAAGGCATAGTGAGAAATAAAAGTATATGGAACATGCAATTACTGTAAAATACTTAAATGCATATTTGTAATATAAGAATATTAGTATTTTTTCAGGATTAGGTTAATAGAAATGCTTGATCTACTAATATATTCTTCATACCATTCAGATGAGAAACATTTTTTAAGAAAGGTTTGTAAAATGTCTATGACATCAGTAAATTCCAGGGAATATTCTCTTCAGAAATTATCCCAGTGATTAATAAATTGATATAAAATATGAATTACTTGTTTAAAAAAGTAAAAGAGAGTAGACTCCAGAATTGCATATGATTCCTGAAAACCTTGGGTGTATCCCCAAGCAGGTTGTAATTTTTATTTTTATTTTTAATGTGATAACAGAAGAAAATAATTAAAATGTGGATAATAATCATGGGAGAAGGCAAAACCAAATGATTCCTGTATTTTGCCAAGGAAACCACATTGGTAGACATGATAAAGGGAGTGTTTATGTAATGCAGATTGATGGGCCTCTCAAATGGGATGGTACTCAACATACTATTGAGGAAGAGCTGAGGATCTTCCAGCATACAATACAATGGTATTTTATGACTCTTTTAGATTAAAGTCTTCAGATTGTATGAATGGCTGAGGCTGCCATTCAAAAAAAGGAAAAGAAGAAGAAGAAAAAGAAAATCCGAAGCTGGAAATAATTACATGTGAAAACATGAAACATAAGCATAAACATGGGAAAGCTCAATACAATGAAAGATGAAATGAATTAGCTACAATTGACATCTTTGGCACCAGCAAATCGAATGGAATGAGATTTACACTTTTACTCAAAAAATCATACTGTTTGCTACAAAGAACATAAAAAGAAAGAAGGAGCAACATTGTTTTCATGGTCAGGGGAAAAAAAACAGTCTACAAACCAATAGTAAAGAAAGAAGATTTAACAGAGTGTGGAAAGTATCATACATGTTCCTTATTTTCGCTTGCTAGTAAAAGAATTCTTAGGATTATCTTGGATCAATTATAAGGAAAGAGAGATGCCAGGTATTCAAGATAGTTTTAGAAAAAAATAAAGATCAAATATTATTGCTGATGCCCACTCAATAATTGAGAAATTAAAAGCATATTTCTCAAAAGTGAGTATGAGCCTCATTGTTTATAAAAGCAATTGATGGTATAAAGCAGGGGTAGTCAACTTTTTTATACTTACCGCCCACTTTTGTATCTCTGTTAGTAGTAAAATTTTCTAACCGCCCACCGGTTCCACAGTAATGGTGATTTATAAAGTAGGGAAGTAACTTTACTTTATAAAATTTATAAAGCAGCGTTACAGCAAACCTCTACCGCCCACCATGAAAGCTGGAACGCCAACTAGTGGGCGGTAGGGACCAGGTTGACTACCACTGGTATAAAGCTAGAACATTTATTATCACAATATCACAGGAAGCCATAGTCCTGATAAAACAATCCAAACTAGATGGCTCTGGATTGGTAAAGAAAAAGTTAAGAATGGTTTTTAAAATTGGAGAAAGAAACATCAATATCTTGCGTTATATTGAAGACACTATGCTAATAGCCTGACATGCAAATGATTTGCAAGCTCTAATAATGAAAGTCAAGGAGCACAGTGAAAAAAATGAGACTAAGAATAAACATAGAAAAGACTAGATTAATGACTGCAGATAAAGCAACCATCCTTAGAATGACAATGAAGAAACTGAAATAGTGGATAGCTTCTGCCTTTTAGGGTTAAATAAAGAAACCAGCAGCCAAGAAATACATCGCAGATTAGCATGGGGTAGGGTAACAATGAAGAAATATTCAGATGCCATGCATGCCTATAAGGAATAATGTGGGCAATGTTTTTTCCTGTAATATTCTAATAGTGTGAAAGTTGCATCTTAAAGAACTTTGAGTGTTAGAAAGAGTATTGATGCTTTTGAACTTAGATGTTGGATGAGACTCCTAAGAATACCATAGGTGACCAAGGAAATAAGTAAATGAATAATGGGGGGAAAATCAATTCGGTGTTCTTATTTGAGGCACAAATGATCTGGCTCAAATAATATTTTGAGTATATTATGAAAGATATATGTATAATGACTATAGTACAGTAGTTAGAGTGCAGTACTTCGTGCTGCTACTGCTGGCTGCCGGCTGACTGCAATTTGGCAGATCGAATCCCACCAGGCTCAAGGTTGACTCAGCCTTCCATCCTTCCAAGGTGGGTAAAATGAGGACCCAGATTGTTGGGGGCTAATATGCTGACTCTGTAAACCATCAACTTGATAATCTATATTCCATCAAAAATGTTTATCATTTCCTGTTATAAAGTTCAAGGCTGCATGTTTGTATGGCACTTTGTGATATAGAAGTTAAGATGTGAAATACAGTATATTTTATTTTAGTTATCTAGTTTTTTTTAACTGTTCATCTCACAAGTAAGTGATTCTGGGTGCAACTGCAAGCATGCAACAAAACTAAAACATTAAATATTATTATTGAAAATGTTAAAAACATTAAAAAGCTATAAAACAGATAAACAAGATATTTATCTAATTTATCATTTAGTTTATTAGTTAGTTAATTAATTAACAATAAAGTAATAATTATCTGGCAGAGTTTCAAAATTCCAGCATTTTTGAACCTAGTAATGTTTAGAACATTGGTGCCATAACACAAGGATTTTCTAGACAGTATTCTCTCTAACCTCTTTTGGCAGAAGGCTGTGGAAAATGCTATAGAGCTGCATAATATCCTAGATGGAGCAGAATATGTAGATCATTTTCAGCAGGGTTCAAACCTGGTATTTCTTAATAATCTCTGATTAGATCCTAAGGAAGTTTGAGCCTGCTTACCTTTTCCAGATCAGCCAAAGTCAATTAGGCGTTTCCACCTAATCAAACTATAGCTTTCCATTTAAACATTATCACACTACAGGTGGTCCTCAACTTATCATCACAATTGAGCCCAAAATTTATGTTGCTAAGTGAAACGTTTGTTAAATGAGCTTTGCTTCATTTTCCAACCTTTCTTGCCACAATTGTTAAGTGAACCGGTGCAGTTGTTAATTTAGTAACTTGGTTGACAAGTGAACCTGGATTCCCCATTGACTTGTCAGAAGGTTGCAAAAGGGGATCACATGGCAGAAGGGACACTGCAGCCATCATAAATATGAACCAGTTGCCAAGTATCAGAATTTTGATCATGTGACTCAGTGGTGAAATTCAAATTCTGTTACTACCGGTTCTGTGGGCATGGCTTGGTGGGTGTGGTGTGGCTTGGTGGGCATGGCAGGAGAAGGATGCTGCAAAATCTCCATTCCCTCCCTACTCTGGGGACAGCCAGTGGTGGCATTTGCTTGTTCTCCAAACTACTCAAAATTTCCGCTACCGGTTCTCCAGAACCTGTCTTTGAACCTGTCAAAACCTGCTGGATTTCACCTCTGACGGGACTACAGGTATAGGCTGCAACGGTTGTTAAATGCAAAAAATGGTCATAAGTCTCTTTTTTTCAGCACTGCTGTAAGTTTGAACAGTCACTAAATGAAATGTTGTAAGTCAAGGATGACCTGTATTGTCCAGCTATTATATTTATTGTGAGAAATGGACAAAGTTATTTTGATTTCTTATTTATCTGTGGTGAAGTATAATTCTTTCATCAAGTTCTAGCCCTCTGAAAGAAAACCAACACACAGATTTTCCTAGAGACTGAAAGAAGAAGTTCTGGATGCATTTCCCCACATGCAGAGTAAAGTTGTCATAAGCTTTTGCAAGAGGAGGCCTTTGCTAGCAATACATTACCTTCCATTTTGCTCTGGCAAAGTTCTTTTCAATCTGAGCACATACGCCATCTTTTATATTCTTGTCTGAAGCTGCATTGCCAGAAATCCTGGAGACAAAAGAAAAAACAAACAAACCAGTCAGTTATGTCACCTCATCATAGCCCCTCTTTAGTCTAAATGTCTTGCTTTGCTTTGCTTACTGGCCTAGTTTGTAGGTCCTGAATAGGAAGGCTAGAGGCAGCAATTAGTTCTCAGTACAAAACAATTCACATTGTAAATGTTATGAAATCTGAGCATCTTGAGCTCTTCCTTTTGAACATGGAGACGTGGACTTTATATTGCCCCTATTCATGTTTCTCAGCATTGTGTACTTGTCTTTAGAACTCTTTTTTTTTCCTTATAGAGCAACTATAGGGCTCTCACCATTCATGAGAAATAGCTTCTTCTGCTGTAATTCTCTGGTCTTGATCCACCTCCATCAGACGGGCTACTAGGTCCTTAGCTAAAGAGAAGAAGGAGAAGATGACTTTTAAATGGCAGCAGTGGGAATGAATGTGATAGCAAATGTTGCAATGGCTTTGCAACACAGAAATTCTGAAAGGACTACGAGTTCATAAAAAAATGTGTGTCTTTCAGCCCAAAATAGATACTACCCTGAAGTAATTTAGTATGACTGACTCCTTTTAGTATATAAAAACAGCCTTGGGAAGTCACAATCTTCCTGTTAAAAATTGCCAGAAAGGTAGTAACTTGGGAGTATTGGAAATTATATTCAAGAGGATGCAATGATTGGGACGGCTGAGCTAAGAATCTAAGTGAACTTACATAACTTACTGTAACGCGCTCTACATGGGGCTGCCCTTGAAGAGTGTTCGAAGACTTCAGCT